GGGGGTGCCGCTCTTCTGCTAGGGGTGCAAGACTTTCCGCATGAAGCGAGGTTCAAAAAGAATAATTAAATCATATTTTGGTGTGGGTGAATTTCATTTCGCGTGGAAAATTGTGCGTTCCTAGGCAGGAAAAGAAGGTGGGATGGATCCTGCTTTACGTGGAAAACCGGAAGTGCGTGGTACGAAGATAGGGTGAACCTCGTTTCGCGTGGAAAGTTATTATGCAAAGAGGGAGTTCTTAACATTGTTTACATTTCACAAATTTCTGACCTATTCTTCTTAAGTTTCACAAGACATTTGATTAGAACATCTATTATGGAACAAGTCGGAATGAATTCCGATCGGAATTATTCCGTTTTTCCTAGAAAACACAATAAAGATCTAGGAATAATTGAATAATTTCGATTAGAATTTATTTCGAATAATTTTATAATACGTACTTTTTTTATCAAAATTTTACTTTCCGTTCCGATGGTATAAACAAGAATTACTTTGACAATTATTGATATCAAAAACTGCATGCGCAATTAGTAGTCATCAAAATTGTATCGAATGTATTCGTTAAACTTCTTACTACATGCCACGCCAACATGAAAATGTCAATAATGTCACTATTTCAGCAGAAAAAAATCAGTGTACGAATTTTTTGTCCATGCCACGATAACATTGCACATACATTGTATATTAACTATACAGCTTTATTTTTTTTTATCAACTTAATTTTTTTATAATTTTATTTAAAAAAATTTATCCCATATATCACTTTTTTTTTATATGTATACATTTTATAATAAAATTAGTATAAAATGTATACTAACAATATACAGATTAACATTAATAAAACAAGAAGAATCAATTTCTCTTAATTTATATTTATCTTAAAATTCGTTTTAATCTACATCACACAAATAAAATATAAAAATGTATTCTGCTACTTTGTCTTGCATTAAAATTAACAGAGACATTAGTGCAGCTTTCTGAAATTTTCAAGGTATGGGCAGCTATAATATAGACGGTATTGGCCATCCCTTGCGACTGGGACATCACAAGGGGTTTGATTCGTTATCTGGAACCTTTGGTGAGAGCAAGAGGTTTATACCTTTCAGGTAAATTGTTATCGATACGTTATTTTCGATCTCCGATAATAAAGTGAGCTTATCAAATAATCAAAAAATCTCGTATTCCATTAAATAAATTTTTTATCGAGATACTCTCCATTAAACATCGCAATATATAAGTGATTTAGCGACTATATTAAACAAATGTAAATTTATTAATGTAAATATTTATTACTAGTTAAGATAAAAATGAAGATTAGGGACCTGCAATGATCTTGACATATACATAGTAAGCATCTTTGGTGCATTTCATATTAATCGTAAATATTTTTTAACTATAATTTTAACGATTTTAATTGCAATGAAACTTTTTAAACATGTCATGTATTGTAGTTATATTGTGTTAAAGTAAATTAAAATAGTCCTCTTTTGCAAATTTTTAAATATTGTGAAATGATAGAAAATTTGGTAAAGGAAATCAAACGTTCAAAGAACTACAGGAAATGATTTATCCTCGTTGAATAATATTATTATTATCTATATCTGCTTTTCCGGGTTTGACCATATAGCCAACTGCAATTACGTGTATAGTAAAACTATTTTTAAATGACATTTTAGAAATATAATAGATTTTGTAAAATAGAACGTTGATAAGAAGCTGCTGTTTCTTTCTGATTGATCAAGAGACATAAACGCAACTTCCAATCGTTAGTGTGATATGAGCATCAGTCTTTTTTTGTCGTCCTTTTTTGCTTCAATATGCCATTGCTTTTATAAATGTCGAATGTTAGGTATTACGCAATGGATATTCAGTTACATTTATCCGAGTTTATTGAAAAAAAGAAAGAAGAAAAGAATGTTTGTTGCCATTGAACTTCGCTTCTAGCTAGTCTGACTTATAAGCATTCATACGTTCTGCATCGTGTCTGACTAGTTTCATCGAAAACTCCTTCTTTCTAATAATTTTCGTCAGAAAAAAAGGACTATATTATATCGTATATTTGTTATAGTAGTATCATTTATTAGTATGACATATTCACAAGCGCATTTACAGATAAAGAAATCGATTTTGTAAAAATTTCATGAAAACTAAAAAGTAAAAGCTAATATTGTTTTAACTTAAAAAAATAAATTAAAAAGCAATATGAATATAAAATTTCATTTAAATTACATCTTTTTTCCGTTGGTCTAAATTCTGTATCTCTCTAAAATTTATTGCGTTTTTAAAACAAACGTCGTTTATTAGTTTATATATAACATTCCGTTTTCAAATAAAATGTCCGAGATTAAAAGAGATACTCTTACATATTCGTTACAGTATATCCATTATTGCAGGCGACCCAGCGTGATGAATGTACGGCCTGGCAATTTCGACGAGATCGACCGATCGGTATTCGATCATTTCTCAAAGAGGAACATCGATGAGATCGATACTGCATTCGACAGCCTCTTTAAGCGGAACTTCGATGAGATCGATCGAGCTAGTTGGGGCGGATTTGTCAAAAGGCTCAATAATTATCTGACAGACAGGCAGCAACGTTAATTAACGCAGAATCGAAGAGGGAGGGTAGCGAGGTGAAGGATAAGAAAGAGCGAAAAAAGGGGGCAAAAATAAGCTCATTGAGAAACATCACAGAATGCGAACTGTATACACTTGCTCTATTAAAAAAAATCGTGTAATCTATGCGAAACTTCAGAAGATATTTGACATTAAAATAAAATTAAAATCCCTTTATCGTTACTGTCCTCTAACGGATACAAATTTAAAACCGAACTTATTACACTAAACTTATATATTACATTACGAAACGACACACACACGCGCGCGCGCGCATACACACGTATAATCGTGAGATTATTTTTTAAGCAAAATTGTAGTATATTTTTTTCAAAATAGTTGAACATAATCTTTTTTTTCGATATGCACAAAATTATTAATTGTATACTTTCAATTCCAAATTATAGAGGATGAACTACGAAAGTGGAAATTGTTTTATTTGCAAGACATTGATAAAATTATAAAATCATTTCGTGTAAGTATTTAGTTATTAGAAAATTATAAATGACGAATTAAACTCTGAAATAGATTTTCGCGTGTTTCAATTATTAAGTTTCAATTAAATTTAAAGTAAATTTTTTTACAGAAATTATAATTAACTATAATATATTTTAATAGTAAAAATTAGATACTTGCAACTAGTAAAGGCCTATATAAAAAATAAGAATAGAATTTGAAGCTGAATACAATAAGAATAGAATTTGTAGCTGAAGCTGGATATTTGTTAGTTCATCCTCGTATGAATTAAACAAAATTGAGAAATTATTTAATTAAACTTACGAAAAATTTTTTGCATAAGGATATCTAGAATGTATGAAAAATAATTAGTTATTTATTTTTAAATATAATACTTAAATAAAATAATTAGATTTTATTTGAAAGAAATTCTTACTCCCGCCTTCAACGATTTTTCGAAATATTCTGCATCACAAAAAATAGCTAATTCATATCTAAATAAACGGCGTGTATATATTGTTGATGTGTAATTAGTTGTAATTATATTGATATAAGTATATTAATTCAGCTCATTGTTTGACTTTCAGAAATATATGATGCAAAAATACTCAATGCGATTAAATCTTAAGAACAGAAATAACAGGAGATGCAAACATATAATGTGTCACTTCTCTTTAATAGAACTTGTTTGAAGAACTTTCTATTGGACAAATATACTTAAATATCTTTTATGTCCAAAGCATGACACGGAGAAGATATTTCTTCCCTCTTTGTAATTTAGAAATGACTTAAAACTTTTGTCATTTTGACAAAATATGACCGATCAGTGATCGGATAAAATGTATCACGTGGTTTGTTCTCTCTACTGTATGCTGTCATTCTGCAAAAATGTATAATTAAATAAAAAGAACGATAATAAATTGCTGACTAATTGGAGAATAACATAAAAAGGTTGCAAATGACACATAACTATGAAAATGTAAAAAAAATATTTCTTTAGTTATATTTGTTTTAAAATAAAAGAAATAAAATCTTTTTTATTTTATAAATTGTATTTTGTAATATGGTATGGTAATATATAGCTTATTTTAATGAACATTTATTTTCTGAGGATACAGCATTTGCAGTCTTTTTCTACTGTTTTGTCATTTCTCCACACATACATACACATACTTTTATAAACGTATTCGTATGTAAATTTTTTGAAAAAATTAATTTTTTCATATGATTGCAGTATTTTTTTTACAAAGTTGAATATCTTTGTGGTAAACAGAAATACTTGGCAAACACAGAAGTGTTGTATTCATTTATCTTATTCCACAGTCACAATTTTGTCTGTACTTTTATAAACAATAACAATTATTAGAAAAAGAAGAGATCAAAAGAGATACAAAAACATGTTTATCCGACAGTTATCTTAAGTTTCGCACTTCCAAGATGGTCGAAAACCAATGGCTTTTGTATCAACTGCTGGTCTTGGATCGTTTAATAGCTGAACTTCCGGATATGCAGGCGCACGTCTTTCTTGTCTCTCAAACGTTACGTATGAGATATCAGTATCATATGATTGCGACGTAAGGAACTTCGAACTCATAATGAAATTATGCGGCTGAGGATCCTTCGCTCCTGTAGAAGTGTTTGTTGTTGTCCGCAATTTCGTCGGTGTTCGAGGATGATCCGACTGTTGCTGCTGCTGCGATTGATTTTTTTTTACCGCCGTAAGGATGCACTTGACTTCCTCGTTGATGTCAATTGGAGTTTCAATCCGCACACTCTTCATATTATGATTCATTCTTACTAGCTGATTATGGGTGATAAGATAACAACGTTTTTAATTACATCTCAAGTAAAGAGGAAAGGACCCCGCTCAAATCTTATGGAAATTAGATTTCGGTGCATTTGTCTGAAATTTTGATATGTTGTAACTTTCGGCATCCTGAACAAATGTCTTCATAGGCACAAGCCCCGGGAATCAATCCTTCGCCCGCTGTAAGTCGGAGAAGTAAAGGTAAATAGGTAGGCCTAACTGCAATATCGGACTATACATCGGGCAAATAGAGTATGAACGAAAAAGTTCCAGTAGAGAGGGTTTTGAGTCGATAAATCCCATTAAATGACGTTATGGTCTTAATCTTTACTGGAACATACGCTTACAAACACGCATGCACACACGCACACATAACGCGCGCCTAGGGATGAGTCGAGATGGGTGAGGCGGGGGTGGGGGGCGGGTGAGGCGGGGTAGTGTGGGGGTTGGGTATGAGAGTGATATATAGCCCGATATTGCAGTTAGGCTTACCTATTTACCTTTACTTCTCCGACTTATAGCGAGCGAAGAATTGATTCTCGGAGCTTGTACCTATGGAGACATTTGTTCAAAATGCCGAAAGCTACATCAAAATTTTAGACAAATCCACCGAAACCTAATTTCCATAAGATTTGAGCGGAGTCCTTTAAATATATGATTTTTGAATGTAAATATGGATTCGAATTTATTAATGTCTTGCGTGCGCACATGCGCTTCTCAAAAGAGATAATTCTAGCATAAAAAAATTAATGCATTTAATAACATTATGTTTTATATCAAAGTAGAGCTAAACTATAATGATTAATAAACAAAATTTTTTTATATTCTTTTAAAAAAATATTTAAATCTCTGTTTTGTTTTACATTATTTTATCGCGAGATATTATTCCAAATTCATTAAACCATATTAAAGCTTTTTCTACTTTTAAAATTAAATGTAAAAGCTTAGTCGTCACAGTTTTATCTTTCATATTACAATTATACCTCAATTAATCCTTCTTCCAATTCAGAATAACGTTGCAGTAACAGGCCTACTTTCGAATTAAGTTTCGTTAAATGATCGGTAATGAATAATTCTTTGGCAATATCTTCCTTCATCTATACAAGTAATTTTATTAATTTTATTAATAGTTATTAAAAATTAATGAATATTAAAATACGTTGTATCATTATTTAATTGTTAAGATGATTTCTTTAAAATACCTGATCCATTCCTTCAGATATCTTCGAGCTAATATAATTGAGACTTGCACGTGACTCAGAAATCTATTGTAAATAGCAATATACTATTTATTATTAATTTTTATAACTGATTTTAATTCTCTTCTAATAAAAATTTTAGTTAATTGTATGTATTTCGTAAATTAAAAAAAAATTTAATATATTATTTGCTTTTGTGTAAAATATATATTACAATTGAATTAAATCTCTCAGCTTCGGCCATAATTTGATAATGCGCTCTCATCACTCGGAAAAACTGAAATGTTACACATTATATACTGCGCAATCGAATACTTGTTAAGTAAATAATAACTAAAGTATAATATGAAATATATGTGTTATTTGTCTTCAATATTTAGATATAATGGCTAATATTTTTTAATCCCTTCAGATTTGATTTTATTGGAACCATGTTAAAAAATTTTTTTTAATTCAATTCAAGAGCACATTTTAATAACTAAAAAAAAAATTCACACTAAACAATTAATTTTTTTCTAAAATTTTGACTATTTTTCCAACATATGCATTATTAAATTATTATGTACGACGTTATCTAATCTCAGATGAGAGATTAAATAATTTGAACGGATATCTTCAAATTTTATATTATAATGTACACAGAGTCTGAAGCTAACAAACAGATGAATATAATATAAATTTACTATTATTGTCTGTAAATCAGCACAGATCATTTCAGCGATATTGCAGCAACATTACAATATTTTAGCAATATTGTAGCAATATATTGCAAACGTTGCAGCAACGTTGCTGCAAGCTTCTGTTCTGTATAGGATAATTCCAATAATATTGGAATGTTAATGTTGGAATAAAATAATATTTAAAAATAATTATAACCTACGCGTTGACACATATACAACACAATAGTCGCATTTATCACCGCAAAAATTATGCTAGTAAAAAAGCGATATATCAGATACATGATTATCTTCGTGAATATCCTGATTAAGAAATTTCAAATAACTACATAACTTAAATATTATAATATTTTGTCATCAAAAGAAATGACGGATTAAAAATTTTTCTCTCCATGTATAATAACCTGCCAAAAATTCTAGATTCAGCTGAAGTTTGATGAAGACAAAAGCGAGATGTTGTGAAAAAAACTCGAATAATCGGCTGCGTTTAGCAGAAAAACCAGCTTTGTAACTGTTGTAAAATTGTTTAAATATGATTGGTTTATACATTTAGATACAGTAAGGAATTAAAGGCAAGACTAATGCTGAATCATTTGCAATTCCTAATTTCAAGTTAAACTGATAGGAAAATATTGAAAATTGCGATTAAAGATCAGATTTTGACAAAATTGTTATTTTTAATGTCACTTTCAATATGTTCCTGTCAGCTCAGCTTGAAATAAACATTTTGCAAATAATCAAATAAGAAAGTAAAACAGGCAATTAGGAATCGGTGCTATAAGTGTTGCGCTTAAATAATTAACAGACCTTAATGTCTAAAAAATTATATTTAAATGTTACGTATGTACGTTTTGACTAAATTCTAGCTATCTTCAGCGCAGAAAACAAAACTTGAATTATATTTCATCACGTAATCCGGCACATAGACTCTAGTGGTCAATCTCTAATAATACAAATAAGTATTTTCCCATAACCAGTCGGCACACTGAATAATCTCAAAGGATTAAGATTTTAAATGGTCTAATCGCATTTTTGTTGTAACATGGGGTGCGTTCAGTAGAAAAAGCAGTTTTGCAACTGTAGTAAGATTCTTATATTTTTATATACATACATGTATGTAGTTTTCTCATAAAAATATAATAGTTTATAAGGTCGATTTCCTCTTATTTCCTTTTCTTTCATCTCAAAAATACTAATCTCTTTACTTTTGCACTTTTCTATCTATGCAACAATATACACACACGCGCGCGTGTATAATTTCCTTTCTTTTTATGATTTTCTATATTACAATCATCTTTGTTACAAAGAAATGTACATAATGTAGTCTTCTTTATTGTCTTCATCTGTTCTAACTCAATATACATACACTATAGATTTTCAGTACTAGCAGTGTACATCTATGTACATGGCCTATCCATGTTAGGTAAGCTTGAAGCAATATATTTGACACTAACCTTTTGAATGTACTAAGTCTTGGATCCTAAAATCAATGTTTGAGTATTGTGATCCACAAGATATCAAACTCCATCTTTTGTTGATCATATTTCCCAGTCATCTGGCAATGGTGGTTCATCCATTCCAGTTTCTTGATCTCGAGTTCAATCCTTCCATTGTGTAGTGTACTTCTTATGGTTTACATAAGTTTTTCCTTCTGATTGTTTCCATTTTCCTCACAACTTCCTGGTAATGGTCATAGAGCGTCATCATTATTTACCATGGGTCGATAGAACAGCAGAAGTTTGACTACTGTAAGCCTATGATAAAATAATATACAATCAGTATAAATGTAATAAATGTAATCTCTCTAATGTGCATGCATCATTTCATCTTTGTTTAATATTTAATCACAAGGATAAAATGACGCTCACAAAAGTTGCGAATGTTAAATGGAGCGTACCTTAAATTGGAAGCACCCAGTTAAGATAAACCTTTACGCATTAACTTACGACTCTATCAAACACAGTTATAAGTTTCAAAAATCCTTATATTCAACTGATATTCAGTCCTCTACATCGTGTTATACGAGAGGATAAGAAGTCGAGGTAGTTAAGATTCTTGATTCTATTGTTAAAGTTATGGAGCAAAGACAGACACCTGAGTTTACTGATTTTGTAAACTCGCAATTTCCACTTATATCGCTGCTCTTTGGCCATTTCAGATCTGTAAATTTTTCCAAATTTTTCTGAAGAAAAATCCTGAAACACACAAATTTATTACTAACCTTGTATTCACTTTTGCTTAAGTCATCTTTGACCACGCTTGATGAAACTTGCCTTATTTAACAGCATATATGTTAAAGACAATCTTAAACGATTGAATTTGTAATTAATAAGAAAATCTTAAGTCTATATATATAATAAATAAGATAGCTTTATAAATAATATTGAGATGTGTCAACTGTCAAATAAGATCATTTGCACCAAACATCTAGCATGAAGTGCATAAACACCTTGAGACTTGAGACTCTCTTATGTCTCCTCCCGAGATTTTCCTCAAGTATATGCTTGTTTCATGACTATGAATCGAAGCGCCATCTTAAGATTATGGCTGCATTTAACAGAGGATCAATCATGTAACTTTTTTTCTAGGGCGGAAATGTGAAAAGTGAATTCTTTATGTATTGTGCGTGTGATATGTATATATACATACACACGTATCTAAAAAAATTTTCACTTTTCTCGTTTCGGCCCTAGAGAAAAAGTTACATAATCAATACCATAGCCATAGAGAATGAACTGCGCGATCCGTATCTAAGTAATGTATCAAATGTGGTCGACAATAATGAGAGAAAGGGACCGTGGGAGACGGCCAATCTCCCTCTCATTCTCTCTCCCATTACACCATTGAATGGAAAGAGATAGAAATGGCCGTCTGCCACGGTCCCACTCTCTCATCCCTATCGACCATTTTGACACACGGTCGCGCAGTTCATTCTTGATGTCTTTGATCAATACCCAGAGCAAGCAACTATGGGTGCTTTCCATTAGATGACACAAATCGACACAAGTGTCATTCTATCTTTGTCACTCTTTGAATGTCAACGAGGATAGAATGACGCTTATATCGACTTGTGTCATCAAATGGAAAGCACCTTTAGCAACTGTTGTAAAATTCTTCAATACGATTGGTTCTTGATTTTGATTCCTTATGGATCTAAAATGCATATAACCAATGACTGCATTCAGTAGAAAAAGGAGCTTTGCAGCTATTGTAAAATTCTTAAATATGACTGATTTATTCATATAGATCCAATGAGAAACTAAGGGCAAGACCAATCAACAAATGTAAAGAATTTTACAACAGTCATGGAAAGCAGTTTTCTTTGCAGAACGCAGCCTATGCTTGAGATGATCTTAAAAATAAAGGCCGCAGCACAGACTTTAAGCCCATTCTACAATTGCGTAAGCATAGTTGTAAATGGTGTAGTTGTAAGAATTAACCAATCACAGTTGAATATGAAAAAAATGTTCGACTGTGATTAATCAATTCTTATAACTACAACTACTTTTAATTACTCTTACGCAATTGTAGAATGGGCTTTACATAGCGCGTAAGCAGGGTATATCCATACAAATTTGCATAGCCGCATAAACATATGCATAAAGAAAATTATCCAATCACATTTTACGTGCGTCTTCGTATGAGAAATGCGATTGGATAATTTTCTTTATGCATGTGTTTATGCAGCTATACAAGTTGTGTGGATATACCCTAACGCATAATAGTGCATAAAGCCCATTCTACATTAGACGCAAACCGATCGCAAGTTTGTTGCGACAGCCAATCTGAAGCTTACATTTTGAAATCAACGCTTCGCATTGGCTGTCGCAATAAACTTGCGATCGGCTTGCGTCTAATCTAGAATGGGCTTAAGAGAAAAAGCAGAGCTTTTATTAGATATCGCTCGTCGCTCATCGCTCATCGCGTCCAGTATGCAGTGGCTTCATTGGAGGCATCCGAGCAACGTTTTCAGTATGCAGCCAGTATGCTTACATCAAAATGCATAACATGAACACAACTGTTTATCTTTAATTAAGCAATTTAATTAAACGTTATATGACTGATACGTATAACATATATATACTTATACATACAGATACGTTGAATTTAACCAACTTCTAGCCATCAGGGATGCATTCGAGAAGATGCTATTAATGTTTTTTGTGTCACTCTATCCTTGTTTTAGATGAATATACCATATAAATGAAATGACACAATTAATAGCTTTAATAATGTCTCCCCAGACACTGTCCTGCAGATTGCTCACGGTCAGTTCACAATTGAATGTTACATACATGTTGCATTCTTTTCATGTATTTTTTACTATCCATAGAGTCAATTTATCACTATTGTGTCTTATTCTGTATATATATTTTGTATATACGTATAGAAATATGTAAAGAGACGTTTATATTACATTGCAGTAATATACTATTGATATATATATTTATATAAAATGTTCGAAGTTTCTGATATAGAGCCGTATCAATACGTGATATTTATCGTTACAAATAATTTTAATGTAACATTCCTGATGCTCGTGTAATATTATATCTACATCTAAGTTACATGTTGTGATCATTTGCTGGGTTGTTTTTTTATAAAATTATGCAATTTGCAGTGTACAATTAAGAACTTTTTTTAAAAAGTAGCTATAAGTATTTTTTTTATGTGATTTATTTCATTTGGTACATATATAAAAGTACAATAATAGTATACTAAATACGTAATAGTGTATAACTATAAAAAAATGAATGAATAATTTACGAGACATTTTATATTTTATGTAAAAATATATCAAATTATAAAGTATAAAAAGTTACGTAAAATTATTTTTATTTCGAAAATTATTGGTTTTTTGATAATTCTTTAATATTTATATGTTAACTTCTAGTCATACAACCTTTGTTTGACACATTTTTGATAAAAATCATTGTACTTTATTTTGAAAATGTATACGAGTAACTTCAGACACTTTATAATGTAATACGTTGCTTTCATATATGTATAATAATAATAATATTAATAATTTTTGATAAATTCATGAACCATAACTTTACAAACAGTTCTTGCCAGCCAAGTTTATGAGAAATCAAATTTATAATAATATGAACTGTACATTATAATACACATAAAATATTTGTTCCAATCATAAGTTCTTACGAATCTTACGTGAACAAGTTACTAGTTTTACGATTCTTTCTAAAATTGCAGTAAATTATAGTATCCGCACTATTCATTATTAGCACATCAATAAATGACATTCTCTGGTAATCGAGATTCTCAATCTCTGTCACACGAAAGGATAATGTAGAAATAAATCAGAGACTATTTCAAGCAACCTTGGGATATATTCTTTAACAACAATGGTACTTTTATGCGAAAGAAGGCCTGAGAAAACTCGTTCTCGATTCTCTCTGATAAAATCTATTGATGAATACTCCCTTATGCTTTATGAAATGGGAAAAGATTCTCTTCTTCAAGCTGCGAGGAATTTAAAAAGCAATTTTTAAGAGATTTACTCTGCTAGCATCAGTCGCTTTCTTCCACTCGGATAATCGAAAATCTGTCGACGGAGTAATCTGTCATAGTTTGTCGAGTCAAGCATCGCCATCGTCGCGAAGTAATTTGTCTTTTAGTATATAAGACACTGCGTCACGAGAACGGACGAGTTGAAGATTTTTATTTTAAAAGCATTCGATTTTCGATGAGTTAATTTGTCATTTCTTTATAGCGTGATATTTTAAGGCCCCTAAGTATAGTCACCAGTCATATCGCAATAAAAGTTACGTAACGTGTCATTTCGCGCTTCCGATGTTACAATTCACAATATAACTGGATGACTACTTCGGCCAAGAACATTAATGTTCGTATTCACAGTCAGACCTTATATTTAAAGCTTCCTTAAATTTATCTTTAGATGCTCAGTAGCCAATAAAATATAATTCGTAGAGTATCTGAAGATAAATTTAAGAAAGCCTTAAATATAAGACTCAATTACCAGTACGGGCATTAGACTTACTTTGGAATTACTGATTACTTTTAGGGCTGTCACTTTAATTTGGAGAAAAAATAATGCAGAAAAAAGCTGCAGAAATGCGTCACTACTCCGCTTACGGACACCTGCTATTTCATTTCTCCCGTTCACGAAGATGAATAAATGCTAAAAAAAAAAAAAGAAGAATAGTTGGAAAAGTTAAAAAGACGCAGTTTCTCCTCTAGTTCTTTGTAGATAATTGCACTCTTTTTCTTCGTCTAGAAACCAATATTCTTTACTCTCGTAATATTTTTCTCGTTTGCCACTGTCGTAACAATTTCCGGTTACAAACAAAAGAGGTTCAACGTTTAGATAGAAACATTTACGATACAACACAGAAAAAAAATGCATTCCTATGTACATATTAAAGAAGATATTGTACATTTACGTCTTACTTAGATATTGCACGCTTCCCAATATTAAAAGTATATATCCGTCACATTAAAAAGGGGGAGATTTTTTATGGCTCGTGAATATATCGCTAAAAATATTGTCTTACAGGGAAATCTTTGGAAATCGAACTCTTAAAATTTTCTTCACATTCTCCCATTCGCTTTTGGAAAATTGCGAAAAGATCCGAAAGCGAATGAAGATCGCATAACGCGTGAAGCGTGCATAAAAGCAAGTAAATGCTCTACTAGGGCGTTACCATGAGTCAATCCTTTCTGGACAGGACAACACAGTTTGACGGCGCGGCGCAGCGCTTGCGCCGCGCGAGGTGGATCCACAACTCAGTGGTAAAAGTCCCTCTCCCTATATTTAGTAACACGGCGAACGTTCAGTTGATCTGATAGTGTTGTGTCCTGTCTCGTTACGAATCGCGAGTGCTCGTGTTTATTTTTCTTCTCCCGAGAAGATCTTCCCTTCCTCTCCGCTCATCCTCGTGCTGTCTCTCTTCCTTTACTCATCACCCTGGTTACTCACCGCCTGTATCAACACACAGCAACTTGCCCTTTCCATTTTTAATGTAAAGTC